TTTGTACACCACAAACAATATAATCCATATCTCCTCACAGCCCAGGAATGAAGCCTCTTGTGCAAACAGATCTCAAAATACATGACAACACAGCAACTTACTGCAGTGGGTAGGGAGTGACTGAAAACTAATACCAAGTAACCCGAGCTACATCAAGTTCATGACCTGAAGAAGTTACCCAGAACACATTGAAATCAATCAGCCATTTTTCAAGCACAGGTGATACAGGAATGACTCGCCCACTCAGCTTAACCTGCCACAGCACCTTCTGTAATTAACTGCACAACTGTGCACAACTGGCTAGGGATCCCTTTAGCTCTCACCATCTTACTTTGCTTTCTTCTATCCACCATCTCCCTTCCTAAGGAAACGGACAGCCAGGTACCAACATAAAGTAGGTAGGTTAGTGATTTGTTTTCATATGACCTCCTTTTCTAGAAGAAAAAGAAAAGTTGTTTGCTGTTTTTTGCTTTACATGTTTGGGCTGGCTTCTTGGGAATAAGCTTACCATTCATGTAGAAACTAGATATAAAGAGGTCTCATCATTTCATACAAATAAAAACCAGCATCAAGTAATATTTAATAAAGTTTATTATGTTGCTGAGTATTATCTACAGTCATAAAATAGAAAGTCAGAATTTAAAACTGTACAAAGCAATGTACTGGTGAAGTGAGAAGAGATGGAAACAACGGAGCACAAAGAAGTAGGGAGAACACAGCTGCTTCCCCGGAGTTCTGGAAGACACTGGTTCAAGTTGAAGGCAACCAAGTAGGGCTCCATACACACTGAATTTTCTTGTGTCCCACCCTGTAACAGAAACTAGTACAAACCCCTACATTAAAACAAAAAAATCATATAATATTAGATTAAAAATGGGGCACATCACACCCCACCCAGTCTTGGCACCAATTCTGTGCTTTAAAAAATATACTATGCAAGTAGTTTATTTTAAAAAAGGTACCCTACAGCAGCTGTTTAACACATGTTCTTATACATACACCACAAATATATATATTAACATTTTCAACAACTAAACTCATTTGTACCTACACAGAACTGAAGGGATAACTCAAGAGCAAAAAAAACCAACCACACAAACATTTTTCAAGACAAAGAAATGTGCAAAATAACCCCAGAAAGGCAGCATAGTAACCTGTGGAGAGGTCAAGAGAGCAGCTCCTGCTAGTAAAGGAGTATCATCCTCTTTACTTGGCTACTGAGGTGAGAATCTATTTGGGATGTGCTGATTTTGCCTGAATTGCCTGTCCTGTGTATTGCAGTTCTCTCCTGCCCCCCAGCCCCATCTCTGGAGAGGTTCAGCTTCTTGCTGTGCCTGAAGATCACCCCACTAGCCTCTGTTAAAGTCTCACAAATTATATTCTGCAGCAATCACCTCCTGGATATCTCATCTGCTGGTGGTACTCCTGCAACCACGCTGCTACCACCTTCTCTGGGACAACTTCCCGCC